GCACCCCTGGGTGCGGTTCCGTTCTCCGCTTATCTCTCGGAGGCTTGTCCGCCTGCTCGGAACCTGTAGGATTTCCTGCTCGCTTTGTTCTCAGTAAACATCTGCCGGCCACTCTGCCGGACTCCCCACTCCGCCTCCGGGCCATCAGGCGGTGGGATGGATGTATTACTAGAGGCCTGCGCCGGGGAGGCCAGCTGGCCGGCTGCCTGGGGTCCAGTGAGATTGGTTTACATTCCTGCTTCCCCGGGCCTCCGTTTCCCCATCGGTCCGTTGGTGTCACAGAAGTTCTGCTCTCGGGGCTGTGACCAGGACCTAGGACACCTGGGGTGGGGAGATGAGTGGGTGCCGGAACTTGTCGCTCTTGCCTGAGATCTGGGGCCCACATAGGCTTTGGGGCTCACGGGAGGCCTGGGGGCTGGGAACCGGGGTCCCCTCCTGCCCGGCCCTCGGACCCTGGGTTTGTTCGGGTCCCTCCCTGCTTGGAGCTGGCAACGACCGGGTTTCTTGGGATGCCCAGAGCCTCTTACCCCCGCTTCCCTCACCTGTCAATGGCGCACGCAGAGAAGGCCGGTGACACGGGGAAGGTGGCGTTGGCTGGACCCTCGCGCTCTGAGTTTCATCACTGTGACCCTGGTGCCCGGCAGCGACGGGCTGGGGGCAGCGTGGCGGGGCAGGCGGCAGGTGCTGACCCAGGAGCGGGAAGAAGCAGTGGTTGCCGTGGCAGGGAAGGCCTTAGGCAGTGCACGGCCCAGGCAGGGTCCCGGAGGCCAGGGAGCTTCTGGGGCCTCACATGGGGACCCACAGGGCCCGAAGGTGACGAGCAGGATGTGCAGATGGCGGTCGGGGTCTGACCTCCTTCCTGCTGGACTCGGGGTCAGGTGGGGGGCTCCCAGCCCAGGGGCATAGGGATGGCATTCCCTCCGTGCGCCCCGTCCTCCCGGCTGGCCGGCCTCATGAGCGTGGTTTTCTGGGTCCCGCCTCCCAGGGCTGGCTGGGCCCCTTTGGTCCTTTCAGGGACTCGCATTCTGCCCTTTGACCTCTGCCCCTGAGCTCAGGGGAGCTGCTGGCAGGGGTGGAGGCGGCTGGGGTGCTGAGTAGGATGGGTCTTAGCGCCTCTTCCCCGGCCCTCGTGTTCCCCCGGCAAAGCCTGGGAATCCGCAGCCGCCGTCCCACCCTGCTCGGACCTCAGGGTTCAGGCCGTCTCCCCGAGGACAGGCCTGGCAGCCGGCCATGCGGTCAGCTGGGACCAGCTTCGGGGGGCGGGGTAGGGAGGCGCTCGGTTCTCCCACATCCGTGACTCCCGGGAACGTGGTCTGTGACGAGGGTGCTTCCTGTGGGAGGACAGACACTGTTGGTCCTGGGTCCGCGAGAGAGACAGGCTCCCGGAGGGGAAGCCAGGCTGC